AACTCATGCGGAAGTGGCTTCAGCTTCTCAGTGCTGTGCTTTAACCCGCTGCGCCACCAGGGAGGGCCCAGAACTTTTTTTTTTTAATGTCAGTGTAAGGTTGCCAGTGTACAGTGTAAATCTTCCTGGAAAGATTGGCCTTTTTTTCCCCACACACATACATGCCGTACCTATTTGGTTTTGAAATGGACTTTCACTTAGGAAATTTGCTGATATAATTTTATTTTTATCTGATAAAATAAATTGTTGACAATCTCTTATCAGTTAAGGGCACTTTCAGTGCAGCACGTCCCTGTCCTACGTACTTGACCAAAGGGCACCGAGAATATATGGTCTAGATTATTGGAGTTTTGACCCCTGTGTTTGTTTACCAGCTTTTCCTTTCCAGGGGCACATTCTACGATGGTGTGGGCCATGCCCTGGGCCACCTCTCTCTTCTAGGCAGATGTGCCCACCTAGGTTCCAAGGCACATGAGCCTGCATGGCCCTGCCACAGCAGCCAGGCTAGCCCTCAGCAGGTGTCTCAAAGAACCTTGACTGTTTTGCAGACACCCAGCACGGAAACATTGCCCACTGACGAAATGAGCAGAGCATCTCGTGTTTTGAATAACCCATCCTAGACACCCTGAGAACTAAAACTCTTCTTTCCTGGCCTGTTACAATCTGTACCACCAGTGGACAACCAAGATGATGACCCAAACTACAGACCCAAGAGGCGGGAAATAATAAATACCACCTGAGGCAGCGGGACACTGGGAAAATATGGTATTTAGGAAGTTGGATAATGAAGGACGCATTTCTGGCTGGAATGGCCAGAATGGCTAGGGAAGAAGGATGTGTGCGTAAGAGACTATTCCAGAGCCCAGCTGACTCCGCCTCTCCCTGGCTGTGTGCCTGCTTTGTGCCTAGGTTCCCTTATCTGTCACATGGGAATAGTAACCGTGCCCTCTTGCTGTAGTTCTTATGAAGATTAAAAGGCTGGGCACATAGTAAGCATTCATAATCCCTGTCATCATCCTAGACCGAGTGACATTGAAGAAGGAAAATGCCAGCCGTTGTCCCACAGCCTTGTGGCCTTCCAGTGCACAGACCAGCAGGTCCAAACCACCTCCTAAACCACAGCCGCGCTCCACCCCACACCAGGGCATAAGAAATGACAGGGTGCCCCCATAACTAGAGGGGGAAATGAGGGTGAGTCCCTGAGCATGGCAGGAGAGGAGTATGGAAATATGTGGAATGGACTATTTTCTTTAAGATTTATTTACTTATGCACACAAGAACTGGGGTACAGGCCAGAGGTGTGGGGCAGGAGGTGAGAGGATTCACCAGAGACAGAGTGGGGAACAGAACAGGCAGATCTACTGAAATATACTGCTGAGGGGTGAGACAGGAGAGGTCTGCTGCACCATATGGGTCAGGTCCCTGGCCAGAGATCATACTCATGCTGTAGTGGCTGTGATAGCTTCATAGTGCTGCACTTCAACCCGTTGTGCCACCAAGGAGGGCCCAGGATTGACTTTAAATGTAGAGAGGTTCTGAGCATGAGGGGGAAGGGGCCGGTTCAGAGCAGGGAAATTGAAGTAGAATTGTTAGGATGGTGCCAGTTGTCTTCAGTTTGAGAAACAAGGGCTCCTACCAATACAATATAGTTCTGATTATGCATGTAGGTTTGCAAGAGTCGCAATGAATGAATAAGGAAAGGCCAGGATAAGGCAATCTGCAGAGGACAATAGTATGTTCACGTTAAGAATGTGGTGTCAGAGGTCAGAGCAGGACTTTGCGGCCAGCCTATGATGTAGGCAGTGGAGACATTCTCCTGGGGTAAGAAAAAGGCCAGTGTCATGGAGAGATGTCGGAGAGTCTGATGAGCTGAGACTCTAGCGCATCGTGGACATACAGGTATATGTGTGCACACACGCGTGCACTGCTGATGAGTGGTTGAAAGCAGTGATGGGCTCCTGGTAGGAAGCTAGAGTTGAGGGAAGAGGGAGGGAGCCACGGTGATGCATCACTGCGACCACCAGTTGGGAATGAGGAAGCTGATCTGGAGCAGGAGTTCCCATCTCTGCGAATTTCCCTTGATGAGCCCATGGCCCAGGCTTTTCTGTTTCCCCCCCT